CACAGGTCGCTACGTCTGCTCCTCAGTCCTCACCGCTCGTCCTACAACATAGGAAGCACTGGCGAGTAGTGTGATCTCATCAAATAGCCCACATCCAATGCTCCACGAGCCCGACTCTGCAGCCCTCCCCTATCTTGGTCCTCTTCATCAGCTAATCCTAATTCTTTCATCTCCCGTTCTTCATCTTCATTTCTTGTTCTTCAGCACACTAGTTTACTCAAACACATCGTAAACTACTCTACTAATCTTGATCTTCTTATCATGCCTTTTCCTCACTAACCGCCAACTAAAAGATCCCTCAAAGGGCAACTACCCGAAAGGGAGAACATCCACCCGGTTGAGGAAACTCACTCCTGAAAAGTTGCGTACACTTTCTCTATACACTTAGACGATTACATGGCCATTATTCTAGATTTTACCAAAAATCCATATCTACACCGCTTCCAAACCACAGCTTGCTTCAGTGGCGTGGCCTAACAAGCCCCCAAGTGGTACCCGTTCTCATCCTAACCCATTGCCGCCGCTCCAAGCTCTCCGGTTTTCTCCAACCTCTGGGTTCCAAGGTCTGCAGAGAAACAGCATGTCTTCCCATGACACTAGATTTCTAGGATTCACTCTTGACACAATCCGTTTCACACTGTAATCTGGATTGAAAGCTCATGCAGTTGCCTCCTTTAGGCAAAACCATGTGGCTGTCAGTTTTCAGTAGACGAGAGCTAGTTTCTGGTCTGTTGGTCCAGCATAGAATATCTGATGTCAGCTCTGTTTTGGATAAATGCGCATTTAACTATATCTCCTTCTCACCATAGTCAAACTCGTCATGATGGTATTAGTTATACATTAATATGATTTCATAACATTAACAACCAACAGTTTACTATGCATTCACATGCTCCTTGGATGTTCCAACTGCAGCTTCTTCTGTATGGCTTGCTGACATTTCTCACAGCTGAAACCACCACCTATGGGCAATGCAAGGAAACACAAACAATAAAAAGTATTCCAGTATATTATTAGTAACTAGGCATGTATTACACAACAAAAAAAAAACCCAATGCCATGACACACAGTATTTGTCTCCTCTCTGAGCATGAATAAGAACTAATTTTTTTAGAAAGATTTTTCGTTCTAATAGTTCTGTCGATCCTCCGACTGGGCACAAGTAGTGGGAGTTGGTCGGACCACCAACGGGGCTGATGTTAGTTGATCCTCCGACTGGGCATGAGGAGTAGGACTCGGTTGGATCACCGGCAGAGTAGAAACCGAACGATCCACCGACTGGGCATGAGGGGCAGGGGTTGGCCGGTTCACCATCGGAGCTGATGTCAGTCGATCCCCCTACTGGGCATGAGGAGAAGGGGTCGGCCGGACCGTTGACGGAGCTGGTACTGGTCGGACCACTGATGGGGCACGAGGAACAGGAGTTGGCTTGACCACCAATGGGGATAGTGAAGGAGTTCTGGACAGTCTGGAGTTGATCAATAGATTTTTGGGTTAAACAGGTGAAAAGGCTGTTGCAATAATCCAGGCGTGATGAAGGCGTGTAAAATGGTCCTTAAAAGTTAACATAGATCTTGCAATGTTTGCTATATTTCTAAGTTGATAAAAACATGATTGAACAAGCTTTGTGGTGTGCTGCTCTAAATTTAAATTACTATGAAACCAGACAGTTTCTTTGCAACAGGCTTAATGTGAATTACTAGGGAACCAGCAGATGGCAGTATTTGTTTTGCCATCTGCTGGGACCAGGATTTCTGTTTTGTCTGAGTTCAGCTGGAGGAAATTATTTGACATCCATTTTTTAACTTCACAAAGGCAGTTGTTAAGTGAACTCAGCATTCCAGGGTCTGTGGATCTGACGGGCAAGTATATTTGTGTCATCAGCATAAATATGAAAAGAAATACCATGTTGAAGGATAATATGTGGGGAAGGGGAAGCAGATACAAGGAAAACAAAATGGGTCCTAAGACCGACCCCTGAGGCACACCCTATTTAACAGGACAGAACGAAGAGACATAGTAGTTTACAGACACGCAAAACTTCCTATTTGACAGGTAGGATGAAAACCATTCTAGGGCAGTACCAGAGATCCCCACCCAGTGCCTGAGTCTGTCTACCATGATGTTGTGATCAATGGTGTCAAAAGCAGCGCTAAGGTCCAGGAGTACCAGGACTGAGCACATTCCTTCATCAGCAGACATTAAAAGGTCATTGGTGACGTTAAGCAGGGCAGTCTCAGTGCTGTGGTACTTCCTGAAACCAGATTGAAACTTGTCAAATATTTTGTTATTTTCCAGTTCACCCAGAGAATTAAGAGTTGGCTGTTCATTTTCTCTGGTGATTACATTTTGTTTTAAGCCTGTTGCTAGCTAGATAAAATTATCATCTTGGTTAAAATTACAGTTAACATGACTTACAGATGCATCTTGCTAACCAAGATAGCTAGCTTCACACGAGCCGGGTCCACCGTCTCGTCCAAATATGGTCACGTCTGGTGCCAGTCTATGCTATTGAAATAGGGGGAAATCAAATAGGGGTGTGACTTTTTGTCATTTTGTTGTAAAATGCATAAACTTGGTGTGGCATTTGGTTCACTTCTTCAGTCTAATGGTGAATTCCATTCCTTATTTTTCAACTACCCCATGTTTTCAATTGTGCCCCTTGCCCCTTGAAACAGAGTTACTAGAGGAAGTGGTTAAAATCATAATACGTAATGGGACAACCCTTCAAGATCCCTGTACATCATCAGTAGTCAATGATGGCTCTTAAGTTAACAGATGCAACAAGTTTTTGCCAGACTTTTCCTTGACAGCGTTTAAAATATGCCGTCCTCCGCTGTGGCAATCTCTCTTGTGTAGGTCATAGCTAGCCTTCTGCTAATGAATACATTTGTGTTAGGATAGACTGCAAACTAGTTTTGCTGTAGTTAGCCTACCTATGCTGGCTACAATGTAATGTTATAATGTTACATTGTAGCTGGCATGTTGCATAGTGATTGCTGGTGCTTTCACAATGCATTCTGGGAGCTTTCTCGTAGCCCTCCGTTTGAAATGTGCCTCTGAAACATCTCTGTTTCGAGGGCTGTGTAGTTACCCCTGTATTGCAACAAGAACCCGGATACTTTACCTCTAGGTGTGAAATTGCAAAATGAAGGGGTAGGGGCAAGTGGTGAAATGGGATTCATCCTTAGTGTCCATCACCAGGATGCCCATGGCATTGTGGTTCTAAAAATTTGACTGTTTTTATTACATGTCAACTAAAGTCTTGGTCCTTGGTCATTGTGCGAAATGTGAGGTACAACCTGCACAGGTTGCCAGTCCATTGCAGGGCACATATATACAAACAAGCACTCACACTCAACCTAAGGACAATTTAGAGTTGCCAGTTAACCTAGCCTGCATGACTTTGGATGGTGGGAGGACCAGAGCACCTGGAGAGAACCACACAGACAAGGGGAGAACATGCAGACTCCACACAGAAAGGCCTTGGAAGACCTAGGTTCGAACCCACAAACTTCTTGCTGTGAGGCGACATTGATAACCACTGCTGACAGGACAGTGAATAGCAATAGGAAATGAGGAGTGTGAAAGGGGGCAACCCGCTACAAAGGGTGATAGGCTGGACTCAAACCTAGGCTATAGCAATAAGGACTCAGTCTAACCACACTCCACCTGAAGTTAAAATAAAAATTAAGGAATTATAGGAAAGCTGTAAGAGCAACCTCGTAGTGCAAATACTTTAGTTAGCTGAGCCACCAAGCTTTGCTGGTTGTTGATAAAAGGAAGCAGAGAGCATTGGTATTCAGATCTGTGGAAATGATTAATAAAAGACAAACAACTTGAACATTACTTATCCCCCCAAAATAAGGACAAATGATCTTCGTGGACCTGATGGCAAAGGACAAAATCTGTTTGTTTTTTTTATATCTCTATCCTTTCCCTTCTCTTTTTTGCACCGAGGAGAAGAAAGAGACATGCTATCAAAATGATAGGAAGAGAAAATCCTATCATTTGATTGTCTGAGAGACTGCCATCTCCCACCTCCACATGCTCAACACCCCATTAGAAAAAGAGAACAATAGAACAGCTCTCTGTGACACCGTGCCTTGTCAAATGCCAAGTTGGTGTCTGTGCTACTGTTAGCGAGCATTTTGTTACTTTCCTGTGCTTGACACATCAGGTACAGGCCTAACAGATGTCTTCTTGAAGAATAAATAGCAAATAACTTGGTATTTGGTTGGATGAACATCTTACTTTTAAAACACATATTTAATATTATGACTTGATGAGAAAGTTAAGATTCGAAATTGGTTTCTTTCATAGAAAAATTGGTTTCTTTTATAGAAACAAATTATGTCTATGTCTTGTGTGAAAGAGACAACAATCACATGTATCATAAACTCTGAGATGCATTCTGGAAGAGACACACTGGAGAAGAACCTTATAACCAACATTGTCATATTGTTGTAATTTTCTTGATGCTTTTAGATTTTAATACATCAGAGATACAGTCATACAGTTTAGCGTCAGCCTTCAACATCATTTAATCATTCAAGTGAGAATTTTGCAGCCTATACCGCCCTTTTTGTAGAAGGCCTCAGTTACAGTATGCTTCTGAAATTCCATGCAGGCCACATTAACTTTGTTCTCATACTGTCCTGGTCCCAACATACGCCAACATTTACTCATATAGCTGACACTTTTATTCAAAGCGACTTAGAATTGCTACACATGTCAGAGGTTGCACCCCTCTGGAGCAATGGTGTCCCACGCCAAAGGCAAGCATCTTATCTATACACCATCAACACCAGCCTACCAGTAACCCTGACAATTTGTTTGTTTTGGATTTACATTTTTCTGCTGCCTGTTTGTTTTCGATAGTTGTTTCTTTTTGACTTCCAGTTAAGCTCTGCCCCTGCTGAACAACTATTGACTTTGGTGTCACAGCAAAGAGTACATTAACAACACATTCACATGAGATTAGGCACATGACATTTGATAAAAAAAGATGTATTTACAAGGTTTGCGAACACCACCTATGTGACTAGGATGTTCATTAAACAAACAATACTCTGCAGAAAAGTATAAAAGAACTGCTCTCTATGCACACATGCAGATCATAGCTGCTTCCAGGGTGTTTGAAAACTACAAGGTAGGTCTTTGAATGGATTAGTAACTGACATTCATTATCTTTTCTACCATATGTATATTTTTTGGCCATTAAATAACTGATAAATTCAGGTACCTCTTCACATTGCAGATAGGTAATGACAAGCTAAAAATCCCTTAATAAATATCTTCATAACAAAAATGAAAATGTCTTAGGTAAAATTGTTGTTTTGTTGTTATAAAGTTTCGGATTTGAGAGATGTAATGCAATTTGAAATGGATAGTATATTGATGCTACTTATTCATCAAATATTAACAAAATAATTCTGAATGAGAACAAGGATGAGCAACAGCTTGAGAGGCTGATAAAATATCTACTATTCCCAGCAATGGTGCTAAAACCTTGATTTAATTAAGTACATAATATGAATGTACAATAATGATTGATGTATTTGGGTTATGCCTAGTTACTATTACAGATCAATGATAAAGTTATAAATTTGTACCAATATTCATTTTTCAGAAAGGTCTGAATGTGCATCAGATCCAGGGGGAAGAGTTTGTGATACAATCCTTAACATTCCTGATACTGAAGATTGTTTTTTTTTTTATGTTAGGAAAAGATTGTGGTCATGGTTAACATGGTTAACATTTATGGTGATACTCTCTTTTGTGATCTTGATGTCTTGGTCAGGTAAGGGATCTTATAAAGGCAAGTTAGATCTAAATTAAAAAAAAATTACTTAAAGGCGGGTGGGAATTTATCTACGAGCAAAAACATTTGATATAGATGGTGATCGCTATGTATGTTTTAAACTGTCTTTTAATACAAAGAATTCAAAAAACAAACAAATAAAAAGAAACCAACATTTACCAACATATCCCATAGTGAAGCCTGGCACTGTGCACAACTCAACAGTAGACAAGGGAACTGTGGAGCTAGTGATGTGTTGGCCGCGAACGAGTCAGCTCTATGAGCCGGCTCTTTGAAGTAACTGATGGCTAGCTCCCGTCACTGCATATTGTAAGATATGGCATTACTGCACTCATCTGGCATATTATTAATAGCTTTTTCATTGTTTAAATAGACATTTCAAACAAGCTTTAGTTTGATCTTGACCTCCTCCCATTGCGTGCAAAAGGGCCTCATAAGCTATTATGGTCTGTTTTTTGGGATCTTTTTTAATCCATAGACACCTCAGGCCAATTATACATTCATTTGGGCGTCCTCCTAAATGTTTTTGACAGGTTATGCACCTTGTGAAGACATGAATCTGTGTGTTTTATCTGCCTGAGAGAAATAAAAGTAAAAAAAATAAACATTATCCTAGCAACACCTATTTTGTTCACCTGGCAAAACTGTTTCACAGATGAAAAAAAAGGAACTCAGAAAGATAATCCTGGCAAAACTGTCATTAAGACATAAGCAGAGGAAAGAAAACAAATTAAGATCAGACTTTTTTCCACTTGCCTCTCAGGGCTTCCATACAACTATGCTTCTGACGTGTATTTTTTCACTAACCTCACATTCTATTTCATCTTTTGTGTTCCATGTTGACCATTATCAGTTACACAGCTTTAATTTAGACTCAGTTCAGACTTTACTGTTACAGTTAACGATGTCTGTCTGTGGTCTCTCTGGGTGCTTCGGCTTCCCCCTGTAGTCCAAAGACATGCAGGTTAATTGGTGACTCTATATTGCCCTTAGGTGTGAGTGTAGAAAGAAACAGTTATTTGGTCATGTGTGTGAAGATGAAAATAGTATGTAGAGGTGGACATTAGGTGAGCTTCTTTCCTGATCTTTAAATTTTGAAATTAGTTGTTCTTTGTCTTAAAAGTACATATGAATCTTATGTATGTGTGTAAATATATGCAAATGTATTTAAATCATGGTCTAATAACTAAAAAATAATCTTAGTGTTCCATAGAAATGTGGTGAACTTTCTCTACAGGATGATTTCTCCAGGTGTGGTCTTTGTCTTATTGGCTGTTCTGGGACAGACAAGTGGCTTTTCTGGTGAGATAATTGTTTTAATGTTTTCAATCAAAAAGTTGATATTTCTCCATTGACCAATTTTAGTTTTTAAATAAATAAGGAATTTTTTAAGAGGGCCAGTTCACTTCAATAAATCAAAACAAAGCAAACGCACATGCACACAACTTAGGGCTGGACGATATGATCTAAAATCAAAATCACGATTAAATAAACACTTACGATTAATTAACAATTGTTTTGTTTGTATTTTTGCACTAGTTCACTGACAAGGTTGGTTGGCTGTGAATATGCTTAACTATTAAAAGCGGGATTTTTTCTTTGATTCACAGATATCAAAAATCGATTATCTAAATAGTAATTGATAATGTAATTGATAATGACAAACATTTCACCCGATTATTAATATCAATGCGCTGCTAATGATTTTTACATGCATTACTGCATTTTTACAGCGTTTGACTAACTTCCTGTCCTCATTCTTCACAGAACATCTACGTGACAGGTTCTGGTATGAGAGTAGTAGTAAGTGAGGTCTTTTAAGGGCAGTGCAATGTAGCGTGTGTGTGGGTGAGCAAATGTGAGGAGCAAGCAACAGAAAATGATGGTGAAACTGAGTACGTTGTTGGACTGGCACTAAATGTACATGTAGGTCAGAGTCAGTCTGTTAATAAAATGTTGTTTCTCCAGCTGCTGGAAAATGAAAGAGATTAGTGCAAGCTAACATCTCCCTATGCTTCAAATTGCTGTCTGGAATCTAAACATGACGGGAAGGGGCGGAGTCACATGACTATACACACGGTGGTGTTTAAGGGGAAAGTACATGAACAACATGATGAACACTAACAGTGTGGAACATGATTAGAACAATTAAATAACCAACATGTTAAAATTAGTTTGGTTGGAGGTTCTGAGTTTTGGATTTGATTACTTCTGTCAGGATCCTGATGAGTGCACGGAGCCCAAACACAAGACACTAGAGAGCCGACGTCAAGTTCAGGATTTTAATCCAAACCAAAAACAAGCATTAAAGCTTACAGGTTGCAAAGACTGGTACATCCAAAATGATGAACATGTAGTTCCAAGAACAGGCAGGACACACATCACACTACACATGACAAGAGGTAGGAAGACAGAGTAATAACTGAGGGAACAGACGGAGCACTTGTACTGGCAGACATGGGGCAAAATAATAACCAACACAGACAGAACACATGTAACAAAATACCAGACAAGAATCTAACTCAGACAATAACAGAAACCCATGTAAACAGACAAACACCGACCATCTATAACACAGGGATCATAACAGACAAAACCTAAACGAGAACCCAGAACTAGAACCCAGAGTACCGAGCAGACTAAACCAAAATGATGCAGAGAAAGAACTAGAAGCAAATACTACAACATGAACTAAGGCACAGGACTAGGAACAAAAACCAAGACTCCCCAACAAGACACACAGACAGGACTGAAACCCAAAACCCAGACACAGAGAATACAAAATCAAAACACAAAGAAGACATAAAATAATATAATCCAGACAAGCCCAGGACAGGATCGTGACAACTTGATCAATTTATCGTCCAGCCCTAATGCAATTTTTAACGTTAAGCCATGCAAATATAACAGTTGTGATATAAAAATGTTTTCACAATGTTTACAGTTCAAAATAAATATTGTATACTAATTGTAATTTCTTTAGTATCCTTGGTCAAATCATGTAATACTTTGGTGGAGGTCACTGATCAGCGTTCAGGTAACACTGATCCAACTGCTTATTTGTACCATCAATAGTGTCCAATAGATGCCTCTGAGCAGATAATGATAGTATAAGTTCAAATAAACATGCTAATTGTTCTTTAGTAGCTTCGGTCAGATCAAACCATGTAATACTAAGTATGAATTTCTCAAACTATCTTAAATAAAACATTTTACGACTCTGCCTAGATACAAATATTGCTAAAGGTGGGAAAGCGACTCAGTCCTCGCTGTTTGAGAATGCTGTCCCTGAAAGGGCCGTTGATGGAAATCGTGCTAGCAACTGGCCAGAGGGTTCCTGTACACACACACAAAAGGATCAAAATCCATGGTGGAGTCTGGACCTCCTGAAAACGTATAAGATCAACACTGTCACAATCACCAACAGAAAAGATTGTTGCCCCGAAAGGCTCAATGGTGCTGAGATCCGCATCGGAAATTCCATCATCGACAACCGCAATGCTAATCCCAGGTAACAGACCTTTGTGTCTTAAAGTAGGTTTAAATATTCAACACTTCTAGTTATATGAAATTAGTGCACTGGATATCTACTTAATTCCAAACAGAAATCAATATTTAGGACATCAGTATTTAAACAGAACTACTGCTGAGATATATGCTTACTGTTCATCTTTTAAAATTATTTTACAAATACTTGTGATTTCTTATTCATCAGATGTGCAGTGATCTCATCTATCGCTGCTGGGGCCTCACAAACCTTTGTTTGTAATGGAATGGAAGGCCGTTATGTAAACATTGTGATTCCTGGAAGACAAGAATACCTGACACTGTGTGAGGTGGAGGTCACTGGTCAGCCTTAGTATGCAGTTTACTTTAAAGCCTATTAATTCAAACTTTCTGCTTCTTTTCCTTCAATAAAGTGTGCTTACTTGTCAATGACCTGTGCGTCTATGTTTACAGATATGCTGGTAGGTTACAAAGAGATTTTGTTGCTTTACACCAGAAATGTTGTGTTTTTCACACAGCAGACGAACAGTAAAAAGTCATTAATGAACAAACAAGCAGATGATTGGGGTGGCAGGGCCGGTGGGGGCAGGAGGCAGGCAGGCTGAAGTAGGTGCAATATGGACTGATCTGGATTTACAAGAGTGTACACAGTTGTTTTAGGTCCCCTTACACAAGAATGGAAAGAGTACTGGACTATTTTACAAGTACTTTTACTTCAAGTACATTTTACTCATGTACAAGTAAAATTTCTTCTGTAATAATGTATTTACATAAAAGTGAAGAAATAGGTCAGTGAACATGTATTCTGAGTCAATGTTACTGCATTACAATTTGAAAAGGTTATGTCTGTGTACATGGTAGAGGCCATTGTCCTGTCCATGGTTCAAGTAATGTACCACAGTCCTGCCATTGTACAAAAATTGTACCTCAGATTGTTCCCGGTTTGAGGCTGGTCTGAACAGATCATCTGCCCAGCTGATCCTGTAGTGTGAGGCATTTACATATATTATCTTAATGTTACGTTACGTTACGTCAAAAATGATTGTTACACACTCACCTTTAAGATAATTCTTGTAATTTCATTCAACCAACAATGTAAATTGTTTTCTTAGATTTTTATCTTTGTCTTTCTCTCCACATACAACTCACCATCTCCTTTTTCTCTCACTCCCTCGTATTGCTTAGTTTTACATTTTTACACTGAACAAAATGATAAATGCAACACTTTTCTCTTTTCCCCCATTCATCATGAGCTGAACTCAAAGATCTAAGACTTTCTCTATGTACACAAAAGGCCTATTTCTCTCAAATATTGTTCACAAATCTGTCAAAATCTGTGTCAGTGAGCACTTCTCCTTGCCAAGGTAATCCACCTCACAGGTGGATGGATATCAAGATGCTGATCAGACAGCATGGGTATTGCATAAGTGTGCCTTAGGCTGGCCACAATAAAAGGCCACTCAAACGGTTTCAGAAGCTAAAAGTTTAATTCTGTTTCCTCTACAGAGTCCTACGATATTTGCTGTGACTTTACTGTGCTCATAGACACGTTTAAAATGACTGACAGCAGCCTTTCTAATCATGAAAGGAAATCATTAGAGAAAACACTCAGCAGCCTACTAAATAAAGAAATCTGAATGAAATTTGAATGAAATTGAATTTGAATGAAAATTCAAATTTTGTCAGAGACGATCTGTGCATCACAGCAATGCAGCTGCTATAATCGTGACTAAACGAGTGCAAACAGCTGCTGACATCAACTTATTAGGCTGTAATGTCAACCAGAGCATTCAGCAGTGATCTGCTGTTTTTATATTAGTGCTCACTATGTAGTCTACGCATGTCATTCCACCTGCATAGTCCTGTGATCAGTGTTGGGAAGGTTACTTTCTAAATGTAATCGGTCGGACTGTCACTTTAAAATCACAGATCCATGAGCAGCCTAAACTGTGTCTAATCTGTTCCATTAATATTTTCATCTTCAGTTAGGCTATTGTCAGCGGCATTTAGTCCCGTCAGGTTACAGCTGAATAAACCTCCTTGTAGCTATTTAAAACAAATAACAGGCTGTAGGAGGATCCCAGCACTTTATCATTCATTAATGAAATTCCAGTCTGGTAAATGATGAATGAACAACGCTGTATAAATGCGCTTCCATCATGCTCAACATACTCTGAGCTGACTGAACTTATTCTGATCGGCCTTTCTGAAACGGAAAACTCGGAGTTTGACAGCTCAGAGTTCGTCAACCCAGAGTTCAGGTTTACACTCAGAGTTTGTTGAACCTGCTTTCTGAAACGGGGCCCTGGTCTTCAACAGACAGCAAGAATCTATAATCGGTAGGGTACTATTTTAACATGGGCATCTCCATAAACAACTTTTCAACACACATACAAACAGCCACATGTGCAGCGCTGGCAGGAGTCAAACACTAGTTGGCTTTTCCTCTGCCAACACCTGTGTCTGATTGCACCTGCCTTATTTAAGTGGATGAGCACCCATTCTGACATACCAGGACCCGGGTGCCACCTACTGGCCAAACTGTGGTATAATCATTTAAATGGCTCCTACACCTCTAATATAAAACTGTTCTTTTAAAGCAAACAAACCTTTTGTTTCATAAACTGCATCATGGAATTTTCTGGTCACCATCCTCACGCTGTTCAGATCTCATATTCAGGGTTGAGACACTGATGACTACTAAGATTAGCAAACATACAGGGTGGTGATGAGACAGTGGAGAAGACGCTTGCCTTTGGTGTGAGAGACCTGGGGTCACTCCCCCGCTGTGATACGTCCACCATTGTGTCCCTGAGCAAGATACTGAACCCCTATTTGCTCCGTAGGCCTGTGTCCTCTGACATTAATAGTTAATTTTTGTAAGTTGCTTTGGATAAAAAAGCGTCAATGAATAAATGTAAATGCAATACCAAGGTACGAAGACTCTGGTACTATGCTACTGTGCGCTTTTCCGGAGCTATCTGTTACAATACTTGATGAAACAAATGATGGGATGCTGCTGCAGTGTGAAGTTCTTGGTGCTTTTCCAAAACCTACAGTAGAGTGGCAGGACAGTGCTGGAAACGAACTTCCTGCTGAGGAGCCACAGGTCTCAGAAAGAGGAGGCAGCTTCTACATCACTGTCAACACTACTGTGATGAAGACCGACCGCTATCGCTGTGTAGCCACACAGGAGGAGATCAAACATCAGATTCATACCTATGTGCATATCCATGGTAATTCTTTGCATCTCTGCATGTGTGAAAAACATTTTAAACTGATTGAAAAATACCATTTATTTATATGGTAATGCTGGTTCTGCAATCACACGAGATATTCCCTTTGGATTGTACTGAAGTAGAAGTATAAAGTAGCATACATTGGAAATACTAAAGTAAAGTACATGTACCTAACAAACAGTACTTAAGCAAAGTACACATGTAATTGTGCCCTTGTCTGCCAATAAACTTTTTGTTTATCTGAGTGGTGGTCAGCGTTCTAGTTTTTACTTGACAATGTAAACTTGTATTTAGTACCTATTGCAAAATATATATAGATTTGTTGATCAGATATCTATTAGTTCTAGAGAAAAGGGTTGTGCGTTCTGATTTTAATGATACGGTTAGACTCATGCTGTGTCCTTAGAAGTAAACTGCCTGTAGCCACCAGCAACATCTGATCACTTGAAGCGTAAGCTAATTATGATAAATAACAATGTTTGCAGATGTAGATGTCGAATTTGTCCTGATCTGTCTTTAGGGTCGGACTCTGTGGGTCACGACGCAAACGGCACATTTTAAATTGAAACTGTGTTCAGTCAGACTCTACCACTGCAGTAATGGCAGCACGCTACAGATCACAACTTGGCTTGATAAAAGCTAAGTTCAAGTATAATATATACTGTAATGATTTTTTTGTGTAGGGCTGCAACTAACAATTATTAAAATTTTTGATTCATCTCTATTCTTTTTTCCAATAATTTAAATATTTTGTTTATAAATTGTCAGAAAATTGTAAAAAATAAAATAAAATAAAAATGCTTTTACTATTAATGTTCATAGATTTTAAGGGTAGTTCTGTGTAGGTAATAACCAGTGTGCTGTACATGATATACAGTTTACATTCTGAGTGTGACTCTAGGTTTTGTTGTGTGTTTCAGAGAAACTGTTTGAGGACACGTGCAGCAGAGGGGACGTCACAGGATGGTTTTTTAGTGGATTATCTTTAGGAGCTCTGGCAGTTCTAGCTTCACTTGTAGCTACAAAGTTCATCACAGTACTGTAATAAAGGTGAGTTTATATAATGGATTTTATTCAATTCAATTCAATTCAATTTTATTTATATAGCGCCAAATCACAACAACAGTTATCTCACAGCGCTTTTCATAAAAGAGCAGGTCTAGACCGTACTCTGTGATGATATTTACAGAAGCCCAACAGTTCCCACCAAGAGCAGCACTAGGCGACAGAGGCAAGGAAAAACTTCCTTTTAAGAGGCAGAAACCTCGAGCAGAACCATGGCTCAGGGTGGGCGGCCATCTGCCTCGACCGGTTGGGGTGAGAGAGAGAGAGAGAGAAAGAGAGAGAGAGAGAGAAGAGAGAGAGAGAGAGAGAGAGGGATGTAAGGAGAGAGAGAGGGGAGGGAGGCAGCCTACACAATATACACACAGAGGTACAGACAGCGAAGGTAATGTTGCTATAAACTAAATGAAAAATGGTACAGATATTTATAATAGTGTTAATGGTAACCATCGTAATGTTAATGATTATAATAACAATAAGACTAGCAACAATAGTCGTTGCAGTAGAGGGTGTCGAGCAGGAACACGGGGGCAGCAGGCGACCCGCAGCCACAGATCCAGACTCCACAGCTCCAGAGCCAGAAAACCTGCAGGAAGTGATAGGAGGAGAGAGGAGAGGGACGAGAAAGCACAAGACTACCAGAAAGGGGAGAAGTTGTGTTAGTAACATGCAATAATGGGATAAGGTTGCATACAGAGGGAGAGAAAGTAGAGGAGAGAGGAGCTCAGTGCATCATGGGAAATCCCCCGGCAGTCTAGGCCTATAGCAGCATAACTAAGGGATGGTTCAGGACTACCTGAGCCAGCCCTAACTATAAGCTTTATCAAAGAGGAAAGTCTTAAGCCTACTCTTAAATGTGGAGATGGTGTCTGCCTCCTGAACCCAAACTGGAACCTGGTTCCACAGGAGAGGAGCTTGATAGCTGAACGCTCTGGCTCCTAGTCTACTTTTGGAGACTCTAGGAACCACAAGTAACCCTGCATTCTGGGAGCGCAGTGCTCTGGTGGGGTAGTAAGGTACTATGAGCTCTTTAAGATAAGATGGTGCCTGACCATTAAGAGCTTTGTAGGTAAGAAGAATGATTTTAAATTCTATTCTGGATTTTACTGGAAGCCAATGCAAAGAAGCTAAAACAGGAGAAATGTGATCTCTTTTCCTGGTTCCTGTCAGAACACGTGCTGCAGCATTCTGGATCAGCTGAAGAGTCTTAATGGACTTTTTCGAGCAGCCTGATAATAAGGAATTGCAGTAATCCAGCCTAGAAGTAACAAATGCATGGACTAGTTTTTCTGCATCATTTTTAGACAGGATGTTCCTGATTTTCGCAATATTACGTAGGTGAAAAAAGGCGGTCCTTGAAATTTGCTTAATGTGGGACTTAAACGACATGTCCTGATCAAAGATAACTCCAAGATTCCTCACAGTGGTGCTGGAGGCCAAGGCGATGCCATCCAGGGAAACTATATCTTTAGATAATGCGTCACGGAGGTGCTTAGGCCCCAGAACAATAACTTCAGTTTTATCTGAGTTTAACATAAGAAAATTACAGCTCATCCAGGTTTTAACATCCTGAAGGCACATTTGAAGTTTAGCTAACTGATGAGTTTCATCTGGCTTTATCGATAGATATAACTGAGTATCATCTGTTCATCATGTGCAGACATCAACATCACAGATACAGAAACCATCTCATGTTAAGATGGTTTTCTCAGATATTTTATGTTTTTTTTAATCTTTTTGCCTTTATTTGACAAGAGCAGCTGAAGAGAGAGAGGAAAGCGGGAGAGAGACAGGATGACATTCAGCACAGGATCTGAATCTGTGTAATAAAACCTGCGTTCTCCACCAGGTGAGCTACTGGGGCCCCCGTTATGTTGGTGGTTACATTCATAAAAAATCCCACTGAGCCTTGATTTATTTATGAGGCCTCTTGTTCTCATTCAAAAATAGCTGTTAATAAATAACTGTCCACTAAATGGATGTTGTCCTTTTGATTTCCCAAAATGTCCAGTAAGTGTAACAGATCTTTGAACATCATTCACTTCTTGTTTTTCCATTTTGTCTCTGGAAACATTTGAAAAGTCCTGAATTTTCTGCCTGTCTGCTGATACTGACCACCATTTAAATGATCTGATTATCTCCTGAAGTGCATTTGTAAAAACAAACTGTCTGTGCTGTTATGGCCTGATTCTCAAATGGGTGGAGGAGGCTGTGGAAGATCAGCAGTTCAATCCCCGGCTCCTCCAGGCTGCATGTCCTTGGGCAAGATACTGAACCCCGAATTGCCCCTGGTGGCTGTTCCACCTGTGTATGAACGGTAGTTTCTGTTTGAGCACTTAGGTTTAGTGTATGAATGTAGTGTAAAAGCGCTTTGAGTGGTTGGAAAGACGCAAATACTGAACATTGATTCTTAAAATGATTGAATACACTTGAAAATGTCTCTGTAATATTCTGCATTGAAACATCAGCTCTGAGTCAAAGCTCGCTCATCGTTTGTGTTTGTTTGAAACTAACTAACTAACTAATAATAATAATAAAACTAATGAAATATATACAAAGGGACCTGTTGGCAAAAAATACTTTTAATAAAGCTGAATTTTTCTCTCATCTTCTGTGTGTGTGTGTGTGTGTGTGTGTGTGTGTGTGTGCAGGTCTACTGAAACAGACAATATAGATCATTAAGGTTTAAGACACTAGAGGGCGACACTACAACAAACTTAGAGAAACTACAGCATGACAGTCAATAATCAGAGTTAGATATTAATTTCTAAATTGTATACCAGCGTGGAGGTTGACTCACCACTGCTGTCTGATTTATTACACATAAGAACAATTAATGACTGATTAAGGAGTCAGTGACTATCAGCCAGAGTTCAGATCTGAGCAGCAGCTGATCGAAGCAAACAAACCAACATTTACTCAGAACCTCTGACAGGCTGCAGACTCAGTGTGATGTAAAGTTTAACCAAAGGAGTTTTTCCAGCTGACTGGAGGACACAGAGACCGAGTAGTATTCAGTATTTCAGTAGGAAGAAAGCAACGTTCAGGAAACATCAGTATAATAGAAATAATCCTGTACTGTGATCCCCAACAACCCGGGCTGAGAAACACTGCTCTGAAGGGTTTTAATCTGACATGGAAAGGTTTGGAAATCCTGGATTTCTGTATTAAGACTTTGCAGATATTTATTTAACATATCTTATATTTAAAGACTAAATACTTAAATGTGTCTACTGACTGAAATGAACTAAAATCAATGTTGTAGATTTATTAATCTGTGATAATCAGTCTATTAGATAGTTGTATGTAGTCACAACATGCTAATTTTAAGGTCCATTACAGTTTTTTCAGATGTTTATGTTAGAATTCTAGCCAAGCAAATATGACTTAGCCCATTTAAAAATATTTGGCTTGTGTCTAGAAGGGCTGTTTTTTGCAGTGTTCTTAAATTGAGAAGTTGTGCAAATAGTCTTAATAAGGACAATAATTTTGTTTCTGTGCCCAGATATCATGCAAACCATTGTTGTAACTTGTTACTAGTTTAATCTAGCTCACTATCAGCTGTAATATCTTATAAAGAAAAGGTAAGTTATATCTTCTTAAAACAAGATTGATTTTCTAAAAACATGCTTGCCTTTTTGCCAGGGACACAGGAAGGACAGCTGATCGTCCTCGATGTGAAACAACAGCTGCGCAGTGTCGGTACATCCGAACATCACACCTGCTGGACAGGTACAGGATGGCAACAACAATCCCTCCATCAGTGCTCAGACTGTCTGCGATAGGCTGAGGCCTGTTGTATACAGTCTACAGACATCACTGGCAACGTCGTCACCTATGGTCACAAATCCACCTTCGCTGGACCAGACAGGATGAAAATGTGCTCTTCACTGACGAGTGGCGGTTTTGTCTCATCAGGAGTGAGGAATTCGGGAATGAGCGTTACATCTAGGCCTGTACTCTGGAGCGGGATCGATTTGAAGGTGGAGGGTCCGTAATGGTCTGGTGTGTCACAGCATCATTGGACTGAGCTTGTTGTCATTGCAATCTCAGTGATGTGATTAACAGGGAAGACATCCTCCTCCCTCATGTGAGCCATTCCCCCCAGAAATGTCTGAAGCTGCATGTGCCTTGGTGGAAGAGTGAGACAACATCTCACAGCAAGAACTGGCTAATCTGATGCACTGAAGTACTTTATGCAGCTGGAGGTCCCACCAGATACTGACTGTTACTTTGTTCAGGGACACATTTTTCATTTTCTGTTAGTCACATGTCTGTGAAACTTAATTCAGTTTATGTCTTAGTAGTTGAATCTTTTCATGTTCATAAAAATATTTACACATGTTGAGTTTGCTGAAAATAAAAGCAGCTGAAAGTGAGAGGACCTTTTCTTATTTTGTTGAGTTTACAAGCAACATTATTGCATTAAACAGTTTAATGATTATACTCACTTAACATTTTGTACAATTTGAAACAACTTATCAAAAATGTCTTGTGGAATTTTACACAGTATGTTGCAGGAGGACTGTGTAAAACATAAACCCTGCACTTTGAGATCATGAGTGTGCTTGTTAATGAGTGTGTGTATGTGTGTGTGTGTGTGTGTGTGTGTGTGTGTGTGCATGTTAAGTGTAAGACTGATTGACATGAAGATATAAACCACACTGCTTCACAAATTCAGTCTCTCTGTCTTTCACACTCTGACCTCACTGATGATGTTTTTCCCTCTGCAGCCCCCCTTTGCTCTCACAAAAGATGATAATGAACATGTCAGCATGCTAATCATTCTTCAGAAATTCCTCTTTAAAGCCTAATTATGTATTTGTGGATTCACTCACTTTGAAGCTGATTGGGTGAATAAACTGCAGAGGTGCAGGATCAGACAACAGCTGCAGAGGGAAATTTCTGTAATTCTTATTAGTGGAATTTTCAACTGTTTGTTTTAAGTTTCATTTCTTAATTGAACATTTAAGAAGCCCTAGAAATAAGAAATAACATAAGATTGTATTATCTTTGATATGCCTGTTGTTTTAATTTGGTAACTAAAGATGAGAAGAAACAAAATGCCTTTTTCATGAGTATCCTTTCACCCAATGTCAGCTGGGATTGGCTCCAGCCCCCCGCGACCCTTTACGCAGGATAAGTGGTTGACGATGGATGGATGGATGAGTATTACAGTTAAGTACACTTTTAAAGTACTGCCATTGCATTTCACGTTGCTTAAGTGAGACATTTGACTCCACTACTTACAAGGGTGAGTTTTGTCCTTTTTACACTGCTGCATTTATCCAGAGCCTGTAGATATTATGTAGAATGAGGTTTTACAAAAACTACAATATGATCGTAAAATATGTTGCACTAAGAATTTAAGATAGCCAGCGGTACATGGTGTAATTAGATCAGCCACACATTTTTATACTTATATGGCATTTTCAGTAAGAGTGACATTTTGCGAAAAGAAAACCTATTAATATAAATAAACACGAATAGCAATGTGAACTTTTGATGATTAAACTGTGGTTGGTGAATCACTCTATAGGTGGGAATGTGTTATTTCTCTGAAGCTGCTGCAGAGCTGTCATGTTTTGTGGTGGTTTCCTGTGAGAAGCCAAACAAAACACACTCACACTCAGATACCTTAACCATCCACAGTTACACGCCTAACATTAACCTACCACTTACCTAACTGTAACCTGAACCCTAAAACCACGTCTTAACCCTCAAAAAGCAGCTGTACCCGTGAGAACCCCATGGATTAGTGTGCATTTAGGTAAAAGTCCTCATAAGACATAAAAACAACAGCAACTTTGATATGCATGCTAGAGAGGAGGACTAACTAGATGAATTAGCGTGACAGAACTCTGGAGTTATTCATTTGTTCAGATTATAAACCAATATACACTTGTGATACGGATGCATAATTTCATAAGTGAATAAAATGTTGTGCATGTACACACTGTTATGGGGGGGGGGGGGTGATAAGGGAAGGAAGAAAACAACTTAGTAGGGAAGAATAAAAGAAGGGATGGAAAAATAAAGTTGGGATGAAATATGAAACATGTAGGAGAGTAACTGACCACCATCTGATGGTCATATCAGTAATTACACATGTAGACAGCAGCTGTCTGGACAGTAAAGTATCAGCTTGTTTGAGCTTCTCTGTAGCCACTGATTAACCAGCATGATATCAATGCTATGACGGGTTCTTCAAACTATAAAGACATTATCGTACAGTTGAAGCATTTTGGGGAATTTTAATGAATCTGACGTAAAAAATGAAATTTTATTTGACTCACTCAAACCTCTCTGCTTTAGTCTGTTTCATTATGATGGTGAGGTGAATGTGAAAGGGTAGACGTGGCAAATGTCTAATACCAGTGGTACCTACACACTATATATCACACTTATCATACCTTTCTCTAAAAGAGTTACTCGCTCTAACCAGACTAACAATATCATATCTTTCCTTTCCTTGTCAGTTTTTAAAACGTGACCCACTTTGAAAACCACACAAACCATATTTTCAGCATTGATTCATTGTTCGTACTTTAGAGCTCAGAGGTTGTTTAAACCTGCCTGAACTGGCTCAGTATTCACTCTAATTTTTGATTTCTGCACTTTACCTCCTGGTGAATCCAGGCATGCACGAGTCTACAAACTAAGTCAAACTGACTGATGGCTACATCAAAAATAATATGCTGACAAAGTTCATATTTTGGCCCTGAGGCTTCACTCTGTGTCAGATTCCCTTTCTCAGCTATTCAAAATGTTATTTTGCACATCAAACAATATCACTGACTCAGTACAAACATTAGTATGAGAAAATACATCTATTGTTTGGCCCATTATTGCTATGAGCAATGAGCGATTTCTGTACAATGTGCAGCAAAAACAGATTTGCATATGAGATACAACTTTAGAATGTTTTAAGACAGAAATCTTGAAATCTGCTCAACCATCTCTGGTATCCAAATCACCTTTTAGGAAAGTTCCCTCCTCCTGTTTGTTGTGCATTTTGTCATTTTGGTTGAGTTGAAAATCTAATAATAAAAAAAAAACTTGCACCCTTATCCGAACCCCCATAAAAATCATACATGCAGCTATTATTAAAATAACCCAATTTCTAATAATGTTCATATAATGTATCTGCTGTGCTGAGAATGCTAAGAATAATTAGGGACATTATATCTTAACAGGCTTATGGTGGTAACACACTGTGAAACTACTAACTCCTACGCTGCATTGCTGACCACAATATGTCTTTTTATGTATCACATCACAGGGTTCTTCCACCACTAAGGGGGCTTATGGTCTACAGAAAATGTGACATGTAATAAAATCATAGCTAAGTAGAAGATTTATTTTACTTTGGTCTAGAATTTTACAGGTCTTTAGACAATGAACCTCTTTGTTGGTAGATTAACCCAGACTACACAAGAAAATCCATATTTTTACTGTATGATAAATTTATTGACTGCATAAACAACATTTCCACACAAATTTTCCACACAATTTCTTGCTGATAAAAATGCAGATAATGGCACAAATGACTTTTAGAAATTGTGGAAGCATTAAAACGTTCACGTTTTTCTCATGGTTTAAGGAAAATGCTTGGATATATAGTAATGAGCTTGGACTTTAGAAGCTTAAAATGCACTTCGTTTACAATACAAGACTAAACATTTTTACTTTGCTCCACCAGTTGAAGAACCACCGGTCTCTCATCAGGCATGGCAGTTTGGATTGCAGTGAACTCCTGCACTCTCTGACCATATGATGGATGTAAATGTGTATACTATAGTATATATAGCATGTGTGCGCAATAATTATTATTTTGTTTGTTGGTTTATCACAGAAAATAAGCTGAGGCCATTGAGTTGCAGGTATACAAAATCAAGGGCGTCACTTTGTCTTGAAAAGTGGTGGGGACATGGGGGCTCATATAAGGGGTGTTAAGAGACACTTAGCTCGCGAGACATCACGATACGTGATATCAGGTTCACAAGAACAAGACCAAAGATCCTCAAACAGTGTTTTAAAGATATCATCAATGCCGAGATATATGAGCGGGGGGTCTGGGAGACCTCCCCCAGGAAATTTTGATCTTCATTTTCATTTGTTATTTTACTGCAAGCTATATTTCAGAACGTTTTTTTAAACACGTTATGCTTTAAAAAAGTGATGGGGACAGAATCTGGCATTTCACAAAGTGGTGGGGACATGTCCCCAGCGTCCCCAGTGTGAATGACAGCTATGGACAAAATGTACCATTTTTCTTCTTGTAAAGATTTGAAATGGGCCAGTTTGACCCGAATGCCATACAAGGGTTAAACTCTTGCAGAACTCACCAGTCTTCAGTATTTAAAGATGTTGAACACTCCTTAAATCCACACATGAAGACACAACTTTCACCTGAATTCACATAAACATTTAAATGCATGCAGGTATGTGAGTGAACTGTGTGCTTTTATAAAAACAGTAAGCATCTGTTTGGGTGATATGTGTCAAGCTTGCCTGCATGTGCCTGATGGGGGGTTTTGCTATGAGCAATCTGTGGCTGCTAAAGGAAATGAGGTTAGTTTTACCAGAATAAAGACACCTCAGTGTGTCATTGTCTAATTACTCAAATTGGCTCACTAACTATTGTGTTATAAACAATTTTTATGCAGATGCATCCACACTTCACTATATTACACTACACTAATATTATTGGATATGCAGAATTTCTGTACAATTATGGGAGACCGGGTATGGTTGTAACATGGGGAGAGTTGTAACAACACCAATTCCACCAAATAGAGATAAGAGTTTGGTGATCATTTCAGTATTTACCTACTTCCTCCCCAATCAGGCCTGGTGGTTATCAAGTCTGGAAACAGACATATTCAGAATATATAGAGAAAAGAGGTAAGAGTACATTTTTTGACCAAGACTATTTTTTGTTTAGTATCTATAGTATTGCAGATAGAATTGTTTGATAGAGTTTCTCAGGCAACATGAGATGCATTTTTTCCTTTCTAATTTCAAACCACTATACCACAAATACAGCTAGCTAAACATTGGCTGACGGGGTGGGGTGGGCTGTAACACTTCTTTAAAAAGTATTACAACCATCCACGATACATAAAAATAGGGACTTTCTTGATTTTACTATTTTCCAGATTGCCCTATGCAGTCTGGGCCCACCAAACCCGCACTCCAGGGTCACCAGCATTAATTTGTCAGCACTATGACCAGTACTCTACTGGTGAGTACCGGCCCACTTCAAGCACTGACACCTCTTTTTAGTTAGACCTAAAGATGTACAGAGATGTTCTTTAATTAGGAACATTTTAGTAGTATTTATTAAGTATACTTTTCAGTAAGTTTATTCTATAGATAAATTTACATACACATACTGTTCATGCACGAGTCATCAGACAAAGAGAAACATTGTTCTTTGATATCACTAACTGTTTTGGAAGCTTATCATATAGTGTGGCATCTATTTTTGAATCTTTTGTGTGATTGTTGCAAACTACCCGCTACTGCAGTAGGTTGTAACAAGAGAACACAATGCTTTGACATCAACTCACGAGGTCTGTGATATTCTTGTAGAGGATTGAATTGGTGCCATTTGTAGTGAACAAACGTGGGTACTTCGTATAAAAATTTGAGAACTCTAGCCAAAAAATTCAGTGAGTTATAGTTGCTGAAGCAAAAAGTGGTACAAGCATACCCGGTCTCCCCTACAATATGTAAAGCATACAACTCTTAGGGCCTGCAGACTGGAGTCTGTTAACAGACAGATCCTGTCTACTCTCTCAAACATCTGGATCCTCACTGCGCTGCATTATTATAAACTTCGATGAACCGGTCGGGTCACATCTCTCTCGCTTCCGGTGGTTTCTTTATTGTGTGTTTCATTGATCATGATTAGAGAGGCTGCTGTCAAGTTATTTTAAACATGCGCAGTAAAGCCACAGCAGATATTGTGGGGCATTTAAGCAGCAAAATTGTAACTGCAGTAATAAAGGTGACATGACAGGATAGATGAAACTCTCCAGAAGAAACAGAACTACTGAAACTATTTAGATGCTCTGATGGAGCTCAGGATTGATCGGGAGGACGGCTGCTTTACTCCAAACAGTTTCAGCGTAAGAACCTGGACTGTGTGTGAGAACATTAACATTATATTCTTAACGATCCTGTCGGCATGTGGGAAGATTTTAATAATCAGTTAAGGTACACTTCTCTCTTAAGAGCATCTAACCATCGGAATAATTTGCCCATAAAATAACAACAAACAGTGAAATACTGCGCTGTTGACTTTCGACCTGCTTTTGTTTTTTGGTCAATAGCGCAATCGCTTTCTGCTGCCTCAATATAGCAATATGCCAACAATTTGCCTGATCACACCTCATTTTAAGACCAACACTCCCATGGGCGCACAGATGGGTGCAAGTGCATTTGCTGTTTAAACAACGTGGGCGCTGGGCGTCAAAATGACAACTGCGTTGTTGGAAACTAGCAATGCGCTGAGCTTTGCACTACTGAGCAAGATAGGGCCCTTACCATCTAATGATACAGGTGATACACTTTATGTACAAAAGTAATTGGACACCTACACATTACTCTTATGACATCCCATTCTAAATCCATAGGCATTAACATGGAGTCGGCCCCCCTTTTTCCACTCGCTTGCCCGTTCAGAAGAGCATTTGTGAGGTCAGACACTGATGTTGGACGAGAGGGCCTGGCTCGCAATCTCCACTCTAGTTCACCTCAAAGGTGTTGGATAGGGTTGAGGTCAGGGATCATGAGCGGGCCAGTCAAGTTATTCCACACCAAACTGTGAAAAGCCTTTCTTTATGGAGCTGGCTTTGTGTCCATGGGAACTGTTACACTGAAACAGGAAAAGGCCAAACAAACTGTTATGTTGTAGCTTTAAGTTTTCCCTTAACAAAGACCACGCCATGAATAAACAGCCACTACCAAATAGGGGGTGTCCACACGCTCTTGGATATATAATGTATTATTAAAATGACATCTTTTGGAGTGAGGGACCAAGTGTTCCCTCATTTTTAATTTTGATAACAATGCCCATCACAACCAAGGGTACAATTTTACTGTAAGCCAACTGGTGCCAAGAATGAGCACTTGTTTTTATATATGTTTTATTCTACATTTTCAAGCAGCTGACATGTGATCACAGAGATCACATGTCAGCTGCTTCATGCCCACCTGGTCTAAAGACTAGGGGTTTCCACATTAAAAGACTGGGGCACTGAATTAGTGGTCGCTCCTCACTTCAAAAATGAGATTCATTTATTTAACACACTCAAAAGTGTCCAAACATTGTTCCAAATTAACTTCATAAAGCAATGAAACGAAAAATCCATTCATGTCATAAATAGTGGTTGAAAGACTGAATGTCAACATCTAGGCTACTGAAAACTCACCTCATTACCTGCGCCCACATCGCAAAATGTGGGGCGGGAACATGACTCTCTGTGATAGACTTTAAGATAGCCACTAACCTAAAATAAAAAGCCTACGTTCATATTTAAATTTATTTCAATATCCCTACCAAACTGTTCATAATATTCAGCCTCACATAACAAAAATGAATTTCCTGCATTCTGGAGACATACGTGTATCAACCCTCAAAAACTGCTACCTTGTTATGCCATTGGTCAAACTGAACCCTCTAAATCGTTGAGCTACATTTTAATTATCAAATATCATAGGCCATTAAAGAAGAGCTGCGAGACAGGCTGCCTGGTGAGGATTATTTCATATTAGCCTAATATGGAAAATATTTTTTATGTTGTTGTTGAGTTACATTCCGGGCTACTGTCAAAACATTTGTGGCTAAAGCCCCGGAAAAATGATCTGGCAACGTGTAAATGACCCTCCCTGCTCCCTCCCTGCTCCCTCCCTACAGGTTGAGCTACTCATGCTCACCGCTTCACCTCCTCTCTCCTCCTGCTCTCTCTCTCTCAGCCCTGTCACTCGCTAACAGTGACAGGGCTGAGACAGTATAGAGACAGTATAGAGAATCACCCAATGGGCCGCTGTCTATGCTTTATGGTCCGGTCGTTGGCCCAGTTATATAAATAAATAATTTACTTTACACCAGCCCCAAAGATGCGTCGGCCCACCCGGCATTTTCCCGGTATGCCAGACCACCAATCCAGCCCTGAGCATAATTTACCATGGTGATATACCCGGGTAAAGTGAACCACCGTCGTGGTACTGAAAACCCAGAATTAACCCCGAAGTTACCTCGATAAGCTCAAATCCTGCTTCGTGGTACAGGACCCAGGTGGGCACGAGGCACATGATTGCAAGTAAAGGCAACAGGCCTATGTGTAATGTAAAACATTATCCACAATTCTGATTAACAAAAATCCCAATTTCTAATTAAATCCCCATTTTGAAAAAGAGACTTATTTAACAGTGAATGACGTTCACATCTATCAACTTGTTGGTACATTAACTTAACTGCTTTTCACCAAGATAAACGAAACAAACGTTATTGTTAAGAAATGTATTGATTTAATTCAGAAAATTTCTAAACAAAACATTTTTTTTTTTGCCTATAGAAATGCTGATAAATGAAAAAAACACATCACAAATGCCTTTTAGAAATTGTTGCTCATGTTGATGTACAGTATAACATGTTGGGGAAGAATGAAAACCTATATCCTTCAATAATTAAAGAACTCCCAAGCATGACTTCTATGTGCACATAGTTGTCTGATGACTAAACTCTCAACTTAGTTTTGGCTTTGCTGCACCAGTTGAAGAAGAACCATGAGTCTTTTATTAATTATGCATTTTTGCCACGTGGCAGTTTATATTGCTCTGAAACCCTGCACTCTTCAGGTAATACACAGTCTCACAGTCACTCAGATGTTCTTTATATTTGTTCTCCAGTTTCTTAGTTATCTTGAACATTTCATAGGGGGGGATGAGAACCTCTTGCTCTTTATCTTTAAGTAATGGATATTTTTTCAGAAAAGCACCATAACAGGTCTCAATTTGAAAGCATGTCTTACTACCAAATTTCTTCAGGTCTGTTCTTTTAGAGCTGGAGGCAAAGAAACCAAACCGAATTATATCGTTGACATTGCCAGAAAGCACCAGATTTGTTCTGCGGTAAGTTGTGTGACATTTTTTGTTGTTACTGAGGATCTGAACGGCAGATGTTAGCCAGAAATGTAAGGAGTGGAATGCAAAGGATTTTCCATAGATTTTTTGGTTGGTTCGGACTGCTTCGTTGAATATCCCATAAAAATTTTGATCATCAGATGTATAAACACAGATTGCTTGCTTATGCTTCTTAGTTAGAGCCTCCTCCCCTTTATCACTTGGTTCTAGTTTCTTGTTTGCACAATGTTCTGCTTTTTTCCAGACATCTGCAAATTGGCTATTTTTCATTTCACTTTTAAAGTATTTGTCTTTGATCATTTCCGTCATTGTTTCGTGGCAGCCAAAGTACATGTCATCAACAGCATCTTCAACCATGTTCAATGGGATGACCTGGTTAGCATCTCGCAGACTGAAGATGTAACTGATCTGGAGGGGAAGGAAGAACAGATGGGAAGGAAGGTCATGAATTAAATGCAGTTTGCACCGCTTTAACAAAGTGTTGCTTACTTTATGATACTTTTGCTGCTGAGACATTCTGTACTTCTGCAAACCCAAATCTTGTACTAGACTCAACTTACATGTTGGTACCAGCTCTCATACATATTCTATTCCCTCATCACTACCTGTATGAACTGTACTGCTACTCGTGAATACTGAATATACTGCTTGTGAGCCCTGAGACTCGCCAGATTCATTCCTGCACCGCTGTCAGACAGTATGCTTCATGGCTGCCTGCAGAGTTTGGAGAGACTCACTGGTGCAGTTTGGTTGATAGTCAGATTGTAGTGTGTTTGAGTGTTAGTATCCATAACTGCTTTGCTTTGCTCTGCTTTTTTTTAAGACGCAATAATTTGCAGTACTTGTTTCTCCCACAAGAGCATATTTATTTAGGGTGCTCGAAACCAATTCCTTTTGCACAAAAGCAAACATGGGAAAAAGGCCACAACCAAATTGTTTATTTCAACCAGTCAATTATGAAGTATTAATTTGATCTAGCTCTGAGAGACAGCACATCCAACCTCATGCACAGAAAGAGAGAGATAGAATACCGTAGGATAAAGCCTTAAAGCTAAAGATTACTGTTGTTATTTGATTTGGATGCATTTTTATGATAAAACATATTTATTCTTTTGTTGTTGGACCCTTAGGGACTAAAGCAATATAAACAAATTCTGATTTATGACCGCTTTAAATGTCGGGAGTCACCGCTTCTTTTTTTGTCTCTCTTGTTTACCAGTAAATATGAATTTATAATATAATATGAACAAAAATATATTGTGTTGCGTAAAATGAACTGAACAATTAAACTGTGGAGAATCTAACCTATCTAATGATGTGTAGCATGTCCATATTGACTAAAGGTTTAAACGTTTATTTTTATGTGTGATCTAAGCAGCTTAGCTCAAAGAGGGCAGATGTTTTATACATCCAAAGAACTTCTATAAAAACATAACAGGTGTTTAAACGGGACAAGGCTTTTAATTGAAGTTTTACGGTATATGAGTATATATTCACACTGTGTTAACATTTGTCAAGTTTTAAGAATTTCACATATCTTAGATGTAACTGGGTGTAAAGTGCCACTTACCTTCTTGGAGTCTACAGGCAGCATCCAGCAAAGGATCAAACAGAGCGGGGCCAAAATCAGCTTGTTACACTTCATCTCGGCAGGTAGCCAAACCGCTTCTGAATTTACACACCCATAACACATACACACAGATAACATCTGACATCAGTAATGATTTTTAAAAAGCTGGCATGATAAATTGTAAATCTAATCTTATAGTTTTTCAAGCTTAGAATGTGTTCTGAAAAAACAGCTCACCAGACTTTCAGAGGAGAAGTTGTTCAGATCAAAGTATTTGATCAGACAATGACTTGTGAATTTCCGTGACTTATATATACCCTGCCTGGTCCCAGACAAGTCACTAAATCTGCACACACACACTTTGCACACGTACTGTATGTATGCGTTATAAATATATATTCACACTCAGCCTTGTGTGCATGAGATGGTGGGTTTTGATGTCAGCACGCTGTATCTTCTCGATGGAAATGTGGTTTCTTTTTACCAGAGAAATGACACATTCATGTGTGATGTGTTGACTGATCAGCACAAATCAAACTATTGTGGCATACCAGATGTACCCATAAATGTTTTATTAAATTATGTTTAATTGATAGTTTACCCGTAGAGATATAAAAGTGAAGTGAAGTGAGAGAGATAGTGGGGGATGACATGCAAGAAAGTCAAGTCAGAACTGAACCAGAAATGTTGTGATTACATGGTGTGTGCCTTAGAACACTATAGGCCACAAGGATGCACCAACTTGCTTTCACACCTGTAGTTCGGTTCATTTGATCCGGAAGATCAAAGATACACTGTTGCATTTTAGTTCTGGTCCGGTTCATGTTCACACTGCAGTTTTACAAATGAACCAGAGAAGTAACCATGACGTTACACAGACTTATAGGTAACTTGTTGATTGGACAGCTTTGTTGATTGTCATCCTTCATCATCAGGACCCACGTGCGGAAATCAAACTCCGGTGACTGACTGAAGTTTATGCAGCACTTTAATGCTTCTGATCTGTATCGCAAAGAGCTCAATCATTTATTATAAGCATGATTAGTATTGTTAGACCGCGGATCAACTGCATAGCCTATTATGAATAATAACGTAAAACAGTTAACCGTTTAATCAGGGAAAATACCAGCGCTGATAAGTATATGTTACCAAATGATTTTCATAATCATAGTGGCTTATACAGATCAATTATAAGATCGCTGAACACATTTTTCGGTCAGAAGATGGATTTATTAGTGGTTTAGCTTTGGAAATAATGCTCCGATCACATCTCTGCTACCATAAAATCCTGTGGTTGGTTCGTTTGCTTTCATACCACAAGCGAAAAGCCACAAAGCGTACCGAGACTCACCACTTTCACACCTGCCGAACTAAAGAGGCAGGTGTGAAAGGCCCCTTAATATGACAAATGTCCAAGCTGTAGGACTGCAGGAAAAGGGCCCAATGAACCAGCCTCTGGTTAGGACACTGCAAAGAACTAAGAAAGGTCAAAGGGTTATGATCTATGAAGACCACCACAGGCACACAACTGACATGAACACATGAAAATATTGCAAAGCCAAGACCAAAACTAAGGTTTCATTTTCAATAACTGAATAATTCAGCCGGTGTTTGTTGAATTTCCTTGAAGAGAAACAGACCGGCTTGTCAACCCCAAATCATCAGCCTGCAACAACACTGCACCTGCACCCACATAGCTAGCGTCTATCTCAAGTTTGAAAGCCTTTTCCCATTGAGTAGCAGCCAAAACTGGAGCATTACACATAAGAGCCTTCACACTCTCAAACGCCTTCTGACACTCTGCGGACCAAACATATTTAACATTTGCTTTCAACAGGTTTGTGAGAGGAGCAACAAAAACACCGGTAATAACCCACAAACCCCAAAAAACGCATGAGCACCTTTGTAGTTGGAGGCGGGGCATAGTCATCAATAGCCTGCACTTTTGCCCGCACTGGACAATCTCCCTGGGCGGTCTGCCTAAGTAAAGCATATGTGTGGGAAACACTGGGCTGTTAAGTTATCTTGTTTCAAGTGTGGTGCCATAAAGATAATATAACTTTAAATTATATTATTGTATTAATTATTAAATTATAGTAATATTATAAATCTTGATGGCATCTAAACCCTAATCCCCAACATAATGCCATGTAAGGCAAAGTAGTGCCAACAGAGTGCTTAGGAAAGCGCCCCGGAAACTTCAAAAATCTGATTCTGAACAGAAGAAGTGACATTGAACTGGGACTGGGCATGAGGATAGCTGAAGGAATGTTTCATGGTTTGTGTGTCGGGGTGTGAGTGTGTGTGCTATGTGTGCATGAGAGTGAAAGAGAGAATGTCAGTATTTTCAGCTTATGAAATAAAAGTGTTTGAATATTGTACAACTTGTATTATCATTCATATGCACGTACAACGCCGGTTAACAAGAAAAAGTTGGCTAGTAAAATAGTTGAGGATTGGTAGGAGTTGGTTGATTTTAGAATCCACATGCCACAGTGTCAGGTGGACCAAAAACTTTATTTCCATCCCTCCGTCCACCCTCTCTTTCTCTCACCTTCTCCCTTTGTGTTAACACACATCTACCTTGACTTACACACACAAACAACACATTATCTCTGCGTTTGCTGATTGTTGTAGGTTTGTTGTTTGACTTAGATTAGATAGTAGTGGTTTATTTACTGAAGTTGTGATTGTTAATCTGTGCTAAAGTGAATAAATTCTGTTATTCTTTTAAGAAGTTTGTAGTGTGAAGACTTCCCCAGTCTGCCTGCCTGTATGTCTTCTCTGTTTTGCAGATTCTGGGTCTGGCTTGTAGGTAGAGCTGGGAGGGTCCAATGCGTCTACCTACCCATCTGGGTTGGGCTTCCTAGAGGACATAAAAGGGCCACCTTTCTAGAAATCACTCTCTCTGCTGGCCTGCTGCTTCAACCTCAGCTTTTGTTCCTTTGTTTGATTTGCTGCACCCACTAACATTTATTACACTTCATCCTCACTCATCCACACACTTCTGACATGACTGATGTTCCTCATATCTACCCACGCCACCAACTTAGTTAAGTTGTTTGTTAGTTTGAGTTAAATAAACCACTTTTGTTCTTATTATCTGTGTGAGGCCTCCCTTTTTGTTACCAGCCTTGACCCAGGTGGTAACAGAAGTTATTGTGTACGGTATTGTGATTGAAGTTTTTTGAGACAATGAGTCTACTGACTTCCTCCTTCACTGTTGGCTTATTATTAACTTATGTTGTTTCATTGTTGTTGCTGTGGCTCAGCAGCAGTGGCAGGGACAGGAATTAGCATGCAGCTGAACAGGGTTAGGAGTCGGACAGGACAGGACACCGGGTACAGGAGTCAGCTGGGTCCATGACCAAACCATGGGAGCAGGCGTTTGGCCGCCGGCTGGACTCGAGGAGCTGGAGTTGGCCATGTAGCTAATGGAACAGAGAAAACAGGAGTTGCTGTGTCTGTCTGATCACATGTGACATTGGTGTTTGGACTTTGCTACAACACTGGAGACAAAGTCAATAGTTGTTCAAGATAGACAGAGCTTTACTGGAACTCTAAAAGAAACAATGATCCAAAACAAACAGGCAGCAGTGAAATGTAAAACCACAGGGAAAAAACTGGAGAAAGCTTAACATAAATTTATTTATTATAATGTGGCGTGGCCGTTCGTGATAAAAGTTACAATTAAAAGGTTTAACTAAAAATATCTTTTAAAAGTATCCAGCCAACAACAACAGCAAATTATCGGTCGTGCAGCTGGTACACAAATAAAATTCTCAATTAAAAAATCTCAGAAACATATTTTGAAAGGCACACCAACAACGCCACCTAGGGAATGAGCCCTAGTACTCACAGACACACAGGTTCTTTAAAATTGGGTTTGGAGCAGAGCAGAAACAAACCACAAAGGCGAAAATAACTTTAACAATTTATTTCCACAATTAAAATAATGTTTATAAGTTTAAAAAGCCGAACTAAAATCAATGTGATGCCACAGGTTAAAAAGAGGGCTTATATAAGAGTGAAATGTTCCATAATTCGCCAGCTCTTGGCAACGGCAAACACTTACTCGGCCGATTCCTCCGTCCCATGGCCCAGCGGCTCCACGGGTCGCTCCGTCTGCTCCGCAGTCCTCACTGCTCGTCCTACAACATAGGAAGCACTGGCGAGTAGTGTGATCTCGTCAAATAGCCCACATCCAATGCTCCACGAGCCCGACTCTGCAGCCCTCCCCTATCTTGGTCCTCTCCATCAGCTAATCCTAATTCTTTCATCTCCCGTTCTTCATCTTCATCTCCTGTTCTTCAGCACACTAGTTTACTCAAACACATCGTAAACTACTCTACTAATCTTGATCTTCTTATCATGCCTTTTCCTCACTAACCGCCAACTAAAAGATCCCTCGAAGGGCAACTACCCGAAAGGGAGAACATCCACCTGGTTGAGGAAACTCACTCCTGAAAAGTTGCGTACACTTTCTCTATACACTTAGACGATTAAATGGCCATTATTCTAGATTGGGTCCCCAAGTCAGAGGCACAGTTTTACCAAAAATCCATATCTACACCGCTTCCAAACCACAGCTTGCTTCAGTGGCGTGGCCTAACATGCCCCCAATTGGTATCCGTTCTCATCCTAACCCATTGCCGCCTCTCCAAGCTCTCCGGTTTTCTGCAACCTCTGGGTTCCAAGGTCTGCAGAGAAACAGCAGGTCTTCCCATGACACTAGATTTCTTGGATTCACTCTCGACACAATCCGTTTCACACTGTAATCTGGATTGAAAGCTCATGCAGTTGCCTCCTTTAGGCAAAACTATGTGGCTGTCAGTTTTCAGTAGACGAGAGCTAGTTACTGGTCGGTTGGCCCAGCATAGAATATCTAATGTCAGCTCTGTTTTGGATAAATGCGCATTTAACTATATCTCCTTCTCACCATAGTCAAACACGTCATGATGGTATTAGTTATACATTAATATGATTTCATAACATTAACAACCAACAGCTTACTATGCATTCACATGCTCCTTGGATGTTCCAACTGCAGCTTCTTCTGTATGGCTTGCTGACATTTCTCACAGCTGAAACCACCACCTATGGGTAATGCAAGGAAACACAAACAATAAAAAGTATTCCAGTATATTATTAGTAACTAGGCATGTATTACTTATTATTAATTATTAAAGAAAAAAACAAATGCTATGACACACAGTATTTGTCTCCTCTCTGA